CTAATGCTTTGGACTAGGTGATCCTCACAATATCCAATCAGTTTAAAGAAGAGGCTAGTTTTCTTTAAGCTATCAGTTGTAGGATAATAAAACACATTTTTTTATTCAAAAGAGAGGCAATTTTTAACACATTTTCCAGAAATAACTTGAAGCAGGTTACATTAAAATATATACACAATGAAGCTTAAGGGGGGAAATAGGAATAAGAAATCAAAGTCCGAAGGATTTACCGACATGAGGTCAACTTTGGTGGAATAATGGTTTCCATTAGTGCTCTTCTTTCTGGAAAATCCTAATGAGTTTATTTTGGGCTTCATAGCAGAATGCAATTGCCCCCCACTCCCATTTATGACTGCACTGGAAAGTCCACACTCAAATATAGATCCTGTGACTTCCTGACAGCCACACAAAACGGTGAGAGAGATGTCTCATGGCATTCTCGGCTTATATATCCTTAGCCCCTCCTCCACATGCAGCTAAGATCAACTGATTCGGTGAGAGGGGTGACTGACTCCCCCATCAACTCCTTGACTAGCTTGGGAAGGAGATGTGTCTATAGCTTGCTGGCACAGTGGTTGGAGGGCACTTCCAGTTAACACTCCATCCCTTCCCCCAGGAACTAGCCTCTTCCACAAAAGTTCCTGAGCCTTGGAGGAGGTGATAGGTGTGGGATGATCTCCCTCCTATTGTGGCAAGGCACTGAACTTTCGTGACTCTGCATCATTTGTTTCCATGGGCTATTGGCCCATTTCAGTGGGATTCAATCTCCTACAAAAACACAAACAGCAAGAAGCAAGAACATCTAAACGATAGCTGCTACAATAACTTAACCTATAGGCATAAACATAAATGTTTGGATGGTACTTTAGCAGGTGCATCACATCCATCTAACAAAACAATTGCAGTGACTTCCCACTGAGGCCTATATTCTCCCCCACCACAGGGGTTTGGCCTGGTCTACAGTACCAGATGTGTGGTCCACCCCTATCAGTGGGTAGTATGTCCCACTGAAAATTTGCTGGTTGTACATACACTAGATGTGCCACTATTGCGCCAGCTGGAACATCTTGTTTGGGATGTAGATAGTGCAGCTCACTTGGTCTGTTGAGCAGAATTATAGGATGGTTCTCCCCCAGCCATCTGCATATCATCTTCTGGCACTATGAAAGCCACCCATCCAGTGGCAGGGATCTTCCAGATTAGTCCAAGTTTGATTTCTCCCTTTCCCATGCTCACATCATATGGTGTCTTCAGCAACAGAGTTTAACCATACACTTCTGGTGTACAACCAACATTATTGGCAATGGCCTTTATTATTTTGGGGAACTCTAGGGCCCCTCTGGCCAACAGCTCATAGAGGGACAACCAACCTCTGGCACTGGAATTTTCATTTAACAACCATATGGCTTCTGGTAGGGCTTTCTTTCATCCCCATAGGGTTCCTTCTAATAAGACACATTTTTTAAAGTGGGTGCGTGTATGATGCTTTTCTGAATTAGTGTTTTGAGAGGCATTCAAAGAAGTGTTATTGCTTTTAAACTGCTTTTTAAAAATTTTTATTGCTCTTTATTTATGTGTTCACACAGGTGGGTGAATGCACCCATGTCACAGAACATGTATGGAAGTCAGAAGACAGCTTAAAGGAGTTGGTTCTCTCCTTTCACCATGTGGGCCCCAGGGAACAAACTCAGGTCATCAGATATAGCGGCAGGAGCCTTTACCTGCTAAGCCATCTCACTGACCCCTCTAAAGCTGCCTCTGTGTGTGTCTGTCTGTATGTCTATATGTCTGTCTGTCTGTCTGTTTTGAGACAAGGTCTTCCTCTATAGCTCAGGCTGGCCTGAAGCCATGTAGCTCATGATGGCTTCTAACTATGGGCAATCCTTCTGCCTTAGTGGTAGAGTTTCAGGCACTTCAAGTCACCATCCTGGACAGCTGCTTGTAGGCAGCTGAATAAATAACATGGAGGTCTCAGAGTTGTTTTAGGTACAGGTCTTTTGAATGTTATTATATTTATAATTGCTTACATTTGGAAAACAAAACTATATAAAGATGGATCCTTTCATACACTATTTTATTGCAAGAAAGAGTAATAGCAAACTAGATATGTCCCTGATTCAAGTTGAGCTCCCTACAAGTTGTGATTGAGATAACCCATGTATGTATAAAATACTTACAGGGGCCAGGGAGACAATCCACCTTAAGTGTTGGCTTGTTTTACAAGCATGAGGACCTGAGTTCATTTGCCAAAGACCACATAAAAAATCCTGGTGTGGTAGAGCACAATAGTAGTCCAGCCTGGGCAAGCAGAAAAAGGCAGATCCATAGGCTCACTGGCCAGCAGTCCAGCCTAATCAGAAAACTACAGTCAATGAGAGACCCTGTCTCAAAAAGTGAAGCAGACAACTCCTGAGGCATGGCACCCATGGATGCCCTCTGGCCTCTACTCACATGCTCATATACATGCACCCTCATACATATACACACACATGCACAAAGACACACACTACTTAATAAAAACAGCAAGGATAAACTTGGTCACATTTTACTACATTTAATTATTTACTCTGTGTGTATGTGTTTTCATGCACACATGCACGCTCATGTATACATGTACATGCACGCACAAGCATGCCACAGCACATGTGAAGTTTAGAAGACAGCTATAGGAGTCAGTTCTCTCCTTCCACCATGTGGGTCCTGGGGATTGAACTCTGGTCATCAGGTTGATGGCAAGCTCCTTTATCTGCTGAGTCATCTCACCAGTCCAGCGCACAAGTTCTTCATCTTCCTTTTTAAATAACAAACTCTTTACTATTTTATTTTCAACTGACACATAGTATTTGCATCATTTATTCAACACCATGTAACATTTTGAACAATAGTGCATAATAATTAGAGTGATTAGAGTTTGTCATTTCTTTGTGTTAAGAATATTTTGGGGTTTTTTTGTTTTGTTTTGGTTTGCTTTTTTTTTTTTGGAGCTGAGGACCGAACCCAGGGACTTGCACTTGTTAGGCAAGCGCTCTACCACTGAGCTAAACCCCCAACCCCTGTTAAGAATATTTTTAAAATCTCTATTTTTAGCTATTTTGAAATTAGTCATCTTTTCTTAATCCAAGTCCAAGTCATGGGTTCAGGCCCATAATATTTTGGCTATGGATGCCACCTCAAAGATTAAAAGTTCAACCTTCTATTACTCTGGACTGTCTTTTGGATAAAGTCTCAATTTTCCTATTACAGCAACACAAGTTATGGAAGGAAAATAATTTGTGTGGGTGTATTTGTCAAAACTGTTGCTATCGCTGAGTTATTATCAAGTCTCTGCTTTGTTGCTAATTTATGAAATACAATGCCTAAGAAGAGACAAAATGGGGCTGGCTGGGAAGGTGGTGGTGACTGGAACACATTACACAGCCAATCTGACCTTGAACTCATGGCAATCCTCTTGCGTCAGCTTCCTAAACGCACCATGCTCAGCTTCAAATCTACTTTTACAAGATTCTAAAATAAAACTTAGTCGTAGATAGTAATTTTTAATTTTTCATTATCTACAAACGTTCTCCATTAAGTATGGACCATCAAGTAATGCTGACATGGGTATATATATTCACAAAGAAAAAGTAGAATTTCCTTAAGTAATAATATGAAGCTATGTATTCTAATATAAAAATGCTAACACCTTAAAAGCCACAGATAGGTATGTCATATTGACCCCAAAACTCATGAAAGAGTCCTGTAAAAACATTTGTATTTTCCTCTATGTTAGGTACTAAGTATAGTATCTTTTAGGTGCTCAGGAGAATTTCCTGCATGTTAGGTACTAAGCCCAGTATCTGCTGGGTACTCAGAATTTCCCACTATGCATCTTATAGTCAATGTTTAATCAAAGTGGTGGGACATAAACTGCAGATCAATTAATCAGAATTTGAAAGATGTTTTGAATAATACCATGAAAGAACACACCCTATTTTTTTCAATATTACTGAATCCTGCTTATTATTGGCAATGAGAAATTAAACTCATTGATAGACATGCAAAGAAACTAATAAAATAACAAATTAAAATAATAACTAAACTAAATAATATCTTCTTTAAGTGATTTTGTGTTAGGGAATTGAAACACCCTGCAGGAATAGCTTGGGGCATGGTTCAGACTCCTGTTTCAGGACCGTGGTACTCAATCCCCTAACTTCTAGAAGTGTTTGCCAATGGTTCTCAGTTGCGTATCTTTCTGCATATGACTCTCTCCCAAAAAAACTTGCCCAAGGTTTTGCTTCCTCTCCAAGGACATCACATACTTAAACACTAGCCAGTAACTCTTTGCTTTAAATCACCGTGGACAGAAATCCCAACTCCAGACACCATGAGATCACCAGAGGTCTCTACTGCAAATTGTTCACAGTTCAATTTCTGTCTGCCTGCCTCTGTCTCTTCTGCCTCACACCGCTCCTCTCGCTCCATTCCAGGTGTCCGCAAATGGCATATGTCAATCATCCTCCTCCCCACACACTGCAACTTGTAATTCAAGGAATCCAACATAAGGCAGTTGGTGTTGAAAGTATGATGAAAGTGTGTGATATTCATGTATTACAATTTCACAATAAATCCATTATTTTGTACAGTTCATATGCGTGGGCACCCCATGGCATGCGTGTGAGTGGAAGTCAAAAGAGAAACCTCTGGGAGGTGCTTCATTCTTCCATTACGTGTGTCCCAGAATTCGAACTTGGGTAGCAGCAAGCGCCCTTATGCTGAGCTATCTCACTGGGCCTCAAAAACCGATTTTATATATATAGAGAGAAAGAGAGAGAGAGAAAAAAAAAACTTTTATTATTCATGCAGCACTTTTTAATGATTTAATTTTTCCTATGTGTTCTGACTGCCTGTATGTATGCGTGCAGTGCCTCTGAAGACCAGAAGAGGGAGAGAAAGCTGCCATGTGGGTGCTGGACAACACAATGTGCTCTCGACCCTTACATCACGATCACATGATGCACCACGTGAGCATTTAAATGGACTCTAACATCTGTAGAGCGCTTACTACGGGGTCTAGGATCAATATTTCATTCTTAATCCTCAAAGCTGCTGTGAGACAGGTACCTTGACAACCGCAGGGACCAAGAGATGGGACCCACGTGGCCAGAATTCCGGGTCCGCCCAGCAGCACTCGTCACTCGGGTGCCACCTCCGACCCTGCCCAAACCAGCGCCGAAGGACACCGAGGCGCCGGAGGGCGTAGGGCGGCTGCGCGAAGAGGCGGTGTTCGGTCCCGGCATGCCTTGCGCACGCTGGAAGATGGCGGCGCCCGCTCTGTGGCCTTGCCCGGGCCTTCTGCGGTTCTGGCCCCGTGGGCTGCGGGGCACCCTCTCTGGCGCCCGGGGCCTGTTGACAGCCCCGAGGGCTCGGGGCCTGTTCAAGGACTTCTTCCCGGAGAGCGGCACGACGGAGCTCCCGGAGCTCCTGGACCGCCGCAGGGCGGGCTCCTCGCCCCAGACCGTGTACTGCGGCTTCGACCCCACGGGCGACTCTCTCCACGTGGGGCACCTGCTGGCCCTCATGGGCCTGTTCCACTTCCAGCGAGCCGGACACAACGTGATCGCGCTCGTGGGCGGCGCCACGGCACTGCTGGGAGACCCGAGCGGCCGGACCAAGGGACGCGCGGCGCTGAGCGCGGAGCAGGTGCAGGCCAACGCGAGCGCCCTGCACCGCGGGCTCCAGACCCTGGCGGCCAACCACGCGAGGCTCTTCGCGGACGGCCGGCCCTGGGGCACCTTCACGGTGCTGGACAACGCCACCTGGTTCCAGAAGGAGCAGCTGGTGGACTTCTTGGCCACGGTGGGCGGTCACTTCCGCATGGGCACCCTGCTCAGTCGGCTGAGCGTGCAGGCTCGACTCAAAAGCCCCGAGGGCATGAGCCTGGCCGAGTTCTTCTACCAGGTGCTCCAGGCCTATGACTTCTATTACCTGTTCCAGCGGTACGGGTGCCGGGTCCAGCTGGGCGGGTCCGATCAGCTGGGCAACATCGTGTCTGGATACGAGTTTATCCACAAGTAAGCGCCTGTAGACGCTATAGAAATCGTGGGGCTACTGGTATTCTGTGATTCGTTTTGAGGATTTGTTGGATAACTGCGCTTGGTTGGTTTCCATCCTCATTAAGTTAGAAGGGTAGAATTATAGGCATACTCTACAGCTCTGCTAAAAACAAACTACTAGTCAAGATTTGGATTGTGCCTGTTAAAACGTAGAAAACACTCAAGTCGCTCCTTGTTTCTAGCTTCAGAAATAGCTTTTGTTGTTATAACGGAAGATAACTAACTGCGCCTCTGTTTAGTAGTCTCTGCATTATTTTAGTTCTTCGTCCCCGCTGAAAATTTTCACAGCATTTTCGTAAGGGCTGGCTCATGGGCTTCACAGCAAAACTGATTTTTTTTAAAATCTCTTTAAAAACAACTTCCTAAAGGTGCCTTCCTGGTGCCCCCTCACCCTGTTTTCTCAACTCTTTCCCCCCTGACCCTTAAAAACCCATTTCCTGCTGGATTCCTGAGAAGCATTCCTCCATTTGCCATTCACGGGGACAAATGTGAATAGAGGTGCCTGCTGTTACATAAAAGGACAGGAACACAATTTGGGAAGTGAAGGGTTTTGTTGTTTTTTGTACAATAACCAGACTCATCTGAACAATTAGTGTGGAACTGCTTATGCTTATAGCATATCATAAATTTCCTGATGTACAGGTTGACCGGAGAAGATGTATTTGGAATCACTGTCCCTCTAATTACGAGTACAACTGGAGCTAAGCTGGGAAAGTCTGCTGGCAATGCGGTTTGGCTAAACAGAGATAAAACTTCTCCATTTGAATTATATCAGTTCTTTGTCAGACAGCAAGATGATTCTGTAGAAAGGTGAGTTTTTAATGGACAGTTGAGAAAAATTAGTATGTAGTCATTATAGTTTCAGCCACTGAAGCTCACTGTATCCTTTACTTTTTTTTTCCACTTAGAGTCTACTTAAGGTATAAATCATTGTGTCACAGGATATTGTAATTTAACTGCCTTATAAAAAGTTTAGGCTGGTGAGCTACATACCAGTCCCTTAAGCACTTAGAAAAAATTTGAGACTCACTTAAGTCTCACTAAGTTGCTTTAGCTTCTGATGGTCCTGCCTCAGCCTCCTAAGTAGCTAGGATTTCAGGCCCAGGACCACCATACCTGACTTATGTTTTTGTTTTCATTGCTGTTTTGCAGTGCTGAGGGTTGAATCTACAGCCTTACTCATGCTAGACAAGCATGAAGGTACTATCTAGCCCTTCTAGATACTTTTTGTTTGTTAAAAGAGAAAAACAGTGGCTGGCCAGAAAACTTAGAACCAATTTTTGGTTGTTTTTGTCTATATCTGGCAAGTAGGTTGGATTATGTCGCTTTCATAGTCTAGGTTCACTCCTTTTATCTTCACCTTAATCATTTTCTTTTGTCTGTCTCACAGACACTACTCTAAAGTTCTTTTCTTTAGTGTATTGTAAAAATACCTTCAGATGCTTTAACAAGTGATTTTCTCAGCTGGAGCCAGGCATGGAACAGGCCTGTAATTCAAGCTCAGACAGAAAGATGGCAAGTTCCAGGCTCTCCTGGGCAACATAGTGAGAACCTCCTCCCTCATCTCTAAATCTACTTCATAATATACTACTAAATATACTTCATAAAATCAGTTTCATTTTAAAAGAGAAATTAAATATTTGAGAAAAATAAACGAACTTGTTAAGTTTTAATCTTTACCTGTTGTGGCAAATTGTATCCTTTGAGCAATGTAGCTCAGCCACATCATCCTGTGTGTAGCTGTGGTGAAGCCGTCCTGTTTCTTCTGCTCCTGCTCCAGTCTGAAGTGTGGGCTGTTACCAGTCTACTCACTGGCTGCACTTCATCTGGCTGGCCCTGAAATCTTTTCTGTAGTGTAATCCAGGATCCAGCTTTACTTCACTGCAAATCCCATGGGGGAAGAGAACTTGTTGGCAACTCTGTGGGGCTCTTTCATGTTGCACCATCAGGACAGCACAGGAGTGTTCCAAAGTGGTGGGAAAGTAAACTTACTTTGAAAAAATTAGTTGCCAATCCCTGCTAAAGTGAATCTGTATATAAGCTATGATCAAGCAGCTACTCTACTGGGTACATGCCCAACACAAATTCATGCATGTTTGCACCAAGAGAAATATGAAGGTATTCAACATGATTAGCATATGTCCAAAAGTAGAAACACAAATGCCCACAATAGAGTAAGTTTACAGAACATCATGGAAAGCTGTGCTTGCAGCATCGTGAGTGAACCTCCTGAACATCCTGGTGTGCCAAGTAGTCAAACAGAAAAACATATTTTCTATGATTCTGTTTCATATAAAATCTAAAAGCAGGGAAAATTTGCTGGGTTTAGTGGTACTCTTAAAGTCTCAGCACTTGGGAGGCTGAGGAAGGTGGTCAAATCTATCTGTAAAAAAGCCAAATGATAATGTTTATGGAGGCTTAATGAGATGTTATAAGTGTGAAAAAAAAAAGCAGGGAAGTGATTGCCATGAAAGATGAAGTGGTTAAAAGAGGTAAATTTGTATTTACAAATGATTATGTAGATGTTTGCTTTATAATGGTTCATTAAACTGTATGTTTGTGGTTAAGGTACTTTTTTTACATATCATTTCACCAAAAGTTAAACAAGAAGATACAGAATACTATTCATGATTTTTGTTTGTTTTTTGAAACAGGGTCTCCCTGTAGCCTCAGCTGGCCTGGAACTTAACCAGGCTGGCCTCAGTCTCAGAGATCTGCCTGCCTCTGCCTCCTGAATGTTGGAATTAAAGGTATGTGCCATCATGTCTGGCTATCATGTCAGTTTTTAGGTTATACAGTAAAACAGAAATCTGAAAGTATGGTGGCAAGGATGCATACAAATTTAATTTTCTCTTGGGACTAAAAATGTGTGATAGGGCTGGAGCCTTCATTTATATCTGTACCATTCTACTTTTAAAAAAGGAAAATCATGGGGTTGGTGAGATAGCTCAGCAGTTAAAAGCACTGGCTGCTCTTGCAGAGGAACCAGGTTCAATTCTCAGCACCTATATGGCTGCCAACAACCATCTCAAATTCTAGTTCCAGGGGATCTGTCGCCCTCTTCTGGCCTCCACAGGCATTGCACAACATGGGTGCACCTACCTACATGTAGGCATTACACTCATACACATAAATATATATACATATTTTTTGTTTGTTTTTTAAAGAAATTTGAAAACAGGTATGGTAAAATGTCCTCTATCAGGGTGGTGTATGCATTACTGTATAGTTTTAAGTGTAGTCTACATGTTTCCATGCTTGTAAAAATCGGACATTTTTCCAAGATAAGGTAGCTGATAGGTATACATGCTAAGGCTTGCTTTCTTGTTCCCCAGGTATCTGAAGCTCTTCACTCTCTTACCCCTTCCAGAGATTGATCACATTATGCAGCTGCACCTCAAAGAACCAGAAAAGCGAGGTCCTCAGAAACGACTTGCTGCAGAAGTAACAAAGCTTGTCCATGGACAAGAAGGGCTGGATTCTGCTAAAAGGTAGCCTTTGGACTAGTTAATGTTTTATGAAGTTTAGTGGACAGATGAGAAAATTAGAGGTGCTTTTTTAAGATGTTCTTGTCAATTACTAGCAAAGACTGTCAGTATTTGACTTAAGTACTTTAAAATAGTCCTTATTGTTGGTAAAGAAATAGATCCTCTTACAAGACTTTGTAGTAAACACTGCATAATTGGTTAGTAGGTTAAACACTCACATGATATGGCTTTTAAATGTTTTTTTTTTTTTTTTTCAGGTGTACACAAGCCCTTTACCATAGTAGTATAGATGCACTGGAGGTCATGTCTGACCAAGAGTTAAAAGAATTATTTAAAGAAGCTTCATTTTCTGAATTAGTTCTTGACCCTGGAACAAGCGTCCTAGACACATGCCGTAGAGCAAATGCCATTCCAGATGGTCCCCGAGGGTAAGAGCTAACACTTTCTTAATTCACTATGAGATGTTCACACCATGTTTCTGAATGTTTCCTGATAATGTTCTAATGCATCTCATTTCTTTCAGGTTAGGTTAGCCCAAGAATAAAGTTAAAACAGAGTACATGTTGGTGAAAAATAACTTGAACTTTCTGTGAAGTATAATGCTCCTCTAGACTGTCTTGTTAATTGGTTAGTTTTTCCTCCAGCATTAGAAATCTTTTTTGAAGGACTTTTTTCAGTAACTGCACTGGGATCAGTCAGCTCAGGGATTTGGTCGGAGAAGTGAAAAGATTCACCTGACTCTGACCCCTCACAATCTTCATTTTGGGGCACAGGACCTGTTTAAAAACAGAATTGAATTTCTGAAAAGGAGATAAGCATAGAAATAAAACCTTTTAAGCCTTATAAACTGTAGGCCATTCCCCCTGGGAACTGCATTTTTTATTAAGGAATTATACTTCGGTGCTACAAGAAGCAATTTGACATGTGATGTACATTTACAACTAATAGAAAATATGTAGAAAGAAAAGCAATTGTCAAAAAGTCGTAGTGCCTCATTTGTGGGACTTTGTACATAAAAATCAAGGTCATTTGCCTGTGGTTATTATAATGAATGACATTTGTTATAGTTGCTTTCTTTCAGTTTTTGGAATGTTTCCCTCTGCATTGAGTCCTAGATTTCTGTGTAGAGAAATCACTGTCGCACCATTCATCACCTGCCAGTCCACCTCATTGTCTAATATACTGGTTTACTTAAAGCGCACTAAATTTAAGACTGGTGCCACACACTCCCCAACAGTGAGTTACTTGGTGTGTTTGCTATTAAGAGTTTTACCCAGATTTAGCCAAGATTCTAAGTAATAATACTCAACTCTTTTTCAGATTATCCAAGCTGAATAGAGTCAGTATGTGTATGTAAAGAAAACGTAGAGCACATACTAACAGCCTAAAATATCTTCCCCACTCACCCATTCTCTTTACATACCAAGAAAATTTCCAGTTCTCACCTACCCAGTCCATGTGCTGAAGACAAAGGATGTTTTCACCATTCTTCATTTATCTTTTGATACTATTCACGTTTAACAGATAGCAAATAAAATGTTACTAAATAAATTGGATATACAGATCAATAAAACCTTTTTACTTATGCTATCAGTATATTTGGCCAGTAGTCTGCAGTAAATGTAAAACCACCTGCTAATTTTCCATTTACGAAATCCACTCATTAAGAAAAAATGTTTCCTAGGCTGGAGAGGTGAATCAGTGGTTAAGAGCAGAGGACCCTGGGTTCAGTTCCCCAGCACCTATATGGAGACTAACAACTGTCCTTAACCCATTTCAGGGGATTCGTCACCTACTTCTGTCCTCCGTGGGCACTCTACACACATGGTACACTTAGATACAAGCAGGCTAAATAATTACACGCATAAAATTAAATAGTTTTGAGAAAGAAAATTTCCTTTTAACCAATTTTCTATTTGCATAGGTTCAGAATGTAATGATTTGCAAGGACTTTTCAGTTTCATATGAAATTTCCTGATGATCCAATAGAGTACTTGTTACTTCTGTTAAAATTGCTCTTTATTTTTAGAAGTTTATTTTCTAAGACTTTATCCCTCAAGGCTAGGTAGAAATTCTCCAGGAAGTGCACCTCCATTGCTTTAATTTCTCCATTGCCTTTACCAGCTGAACAGTTTCCTCAAAAGTTGAGATGGCTGAACCTAGCAGTGAAGGGCTATCATCTCATCTACTTGGGAGGCTATGCACAAGTTAGGGCCTCCCTAGGCTGCAGAGTAAGTTCAAGACTAGCTTGGGCAATTTACTAAGACCTTATCTCAAAAAGTTAAAAAAAAAAAGGGTTGAAGATACAATAGTGGTGTATTGCTTTACCTAGCACAAATGAGGCCCTAAGTTCAATCTTAGTTAAAAAAAAAGGGGGGGGGGTTGGGGAGGCACCCCAGAGATAAAAGAGCTTTGAGATCTCAGTTCTCTCTCTACTAAATCTATTAAGCCTTACATCTGCTTCCTTAGCTAGGCGTTAAACAGAGGCAAAATGCAGAGTGGCTTGTTAAGAGTATCTGAAATGTAACCACTCATCTTTTTGGAGGGCAGGCCAAGGGTGATCGGAGCTTTCTAGTTATTAAACATTTCTATTTTCAGGTATCGGATGATAACTGAAGGTGGAGTCAGTATAAATCACAGACAGGTAACAAATCCTGAGAGTGTTTTAATACTTGGACAGCACATTCTCAAGAATGGACTTTCCTTACTTAAAATAGGAAAAAGGAATCTCTACATTATAAAATGGCTTCAGTTGTAAAAACTTTTGTTCAAACTTGTCCCATTCATTTTCAAAACATGAAAGGTTTTCAAAAACCAGAGTGGCGTGTACACTGGGCCTCATGGTGTAAATGGTATCATGTTTTTTTTTAATAAATGTTATTTAATCGTAGTTTATTTCTTCATGAAAGACCTGACATCATTCCCACCTAATCCATCTCCCTCTCCGTGGATTGATAAAAGTGCAATGGAGGAAGTATCCCGGATTGTAGATGGTGTGGTCCAGAGCATGAGTTCTATCACGGTGCTCATAAATCAGCCCAGTTGGATACATGAATTTCTGGCTTTGTTGCTAAGAAACAAATAGTTCTTTAAAAAGACGTTAGATGTAGCCATAGTTGCCATTAGAAGAGTAAGAAATAGTTTCTTCTCAAACAAAAGAACAAAAGTACCAGACTTTGTTTTAAATTCAGTTTTCCAGGTCCCTATCTATGTTTCATTATCAGTCTGTTTACTCGTACCTGCCTTTTCTGTCAATGGATTCTTAAGGTAGCAATGTTTTGTGCATTCAGAAACTTTCCATTTCACTTTCTATCCATAAGCAGGTTGTAACTTGAGGTTAACTTTAAAGGAACCAAACAAACAAATATCTCACCAAGTATCAGTCCTGAGAACATCAAAAGATACCGGAAGTTTTCAATTTAACTAAGCACATTAACAAACCTCTTAAAAAGTCAAGGTAGTGCACCCCCATTTCCTAAGTATCAAGTGAAACATGAAATGGTTAACCAGCTGTCTTCTGGAAGTCTTGCAGCAATGTGTAGCTTTAATTTCAGTTTCTAACCATTTACTTCTGATTATTTGGAGCAACTGTCTATCTTCATATGCAGAAATGAGTAACATTTCAGTGAATTGTGGTAATCTGCTAGGAAAAAAGTCATACTACTTTCAGTACAATATGGCTCTGATATATAAGACGTTTAAAAGACAGCTATTTAAACCTCTCTGAGGCAAGTCAGGAAGAATTCATATATTGGCAAACTTGAATACCATTTCATACCAGCAATTTTATTTACACAGAAAGAACATACAAGTACCTATTATAAATATGCCAGAGATTATCTCCACATTTCAGAACAACGCAGTTTAAAAACACACAAAGGCAGGCCTTTCCTTTCTGTACATTTCTTGTTTTTCTTTGTACAAAGTATGTAGTACTAGCAAATACATTATGGTAGCATGTGTTTTTAAAATAACCTTTTCAACCTAAAATCTATTTGGTATGTTGGATAAAAGTGTGTTTTGTTTTGTTTTTTTCCTTCCTTTATAAATTCAAAAGGCTACAATAGTAGTCATCACTCTGGAAAGAAATCATGGGTACCAGTGGCTTGGTGATTTTTAGTGTACTGACAAATATTTTGGCAGTGTACATTCACTGTCAAGCTGGTACTATTAACAGCCTGTAAGAGTACCAGGGTCATACCAGACTGGGGGCTTTTATGTTCGAAATTAATTGTTCTGAGTGGAGATCAAATTGAAGTTAATGTTCTTACTTTCCCTGCCAATAATCTTTTACAAGTGCCTGGCTGTAACCTGAAAACGAACTTTAGCATTTTGACACATGGCTTAATATGTTGTCAGTTGGAGATAAAGTTATATGTTGCAAAGATTTCTGGTCGTGCGTGAAAAAATTTTAATTTTGAGTTTATACTAAGAAGTGCCTGGGACATTTTCACAAAATATATTGTAAACATCAACCCCAACCCCTGAATGCAAATTGTCTACAAACTTTTTAGGAATATGTGTATCCATGTCCAGATATTTTTATTTAAATAACAAAGCTCTACTGGTGTTTCCATACCATTATTTTAATGTATTTTGTTGGGGTGGAGCTAAAGTGGCTATTTCTAACTAATATGTGCAGAGTACATTAAATGTACTCACAGTGAATCTTGGAGCCCAATGCAAGTGTCCCACTTTACAGATGTGTGTGAATTGCTATTACTATATTTATAAATTAAGGGAAATTTCATTTAGTTTTTTTGTTTGTTTGTTTGGTCTTTTTGAGACAGGGTCTCCCTGTAGCTCCAGCTGTCCTCGAACTCACTATGTAGACCAGGCTGGCCTTGAACTCACAGAGATCCACCTGCCTCTGTGATCCACCTGCACCACCATGCCTGACCTCATTTAGATCTTTTAAAATCTGTATGGGCTGGGAATTGTCACCAAGTCTTACCAAGTTCCCGGTAGTTCTTTTTAATGCAGAAAATCACAGTATGTTTTCAGGCTTACCTATGAATGAAAGTGTATTTTAATTTTCAACACACAGGTCATTGTGGACCCAGAAGAGAAAAGACTATGTAACCACATAGTATACACCCCACATCTTTGTTTCAAATCCTCTTGTGCACTTAGTTTTCTTAGTAACAACAGCAAAGACTGCAGAGATTTTTCTTTTTTTTTTTTTTAAAGAAACTATAAACTGAAGGATAGATAGGCACATTGATTATGTGAGGAACTTGCCAAGATTTCACAACCAGGCCAGTTTCTATAGTGCATGCATTATAGTCATGAAATGTCATGGTGCTTCCAGGCATCAGCTTTAAGGCTGCTAACAAAGACTACACAAGTCATTGTGTCCACAGCAACTGTGGACAGCTGGATCATGAACAGTTCTTTGTAAGTTCAACTGAAACTCAGACAGACTTGATATACATGTATGCTGGGAGACTTTAAAAACAGCAATTTATTATTTGTATTAAATGGGTGATTTGTTCCGTAATGAAGAGTATACTTTTCAGTTTATAGCTAATCTTCACATGAGCAAATTCAAACCACTGCAATATACAAGAATTCATAAATAAAAATCTACTCAGGTAGGCAGTAGCTAGCAGGTTCCAAATCAACAAACTCTTGGTATTAAACAGTTCTCTTCACCAAAGATGGGTCTCTCGGATTTCAGCAATAATTTGACTGGCTCCTTGTAATGCCTACGTTAAAGGAAATAAAAACTTAAGTTACAATATTAATCTGAACTGTGTGAAGAAATTTGTAGATTTAAAAAAACAGTATTATATCTGAAATTTGAATCTAATCAAGTACCAAAAGGGGTGGGGGTATAGCATAAAGATTATTTGTATACAAAGATCAGAATGCATTTTAAAATATGTATATCTACATCCCAGGTAGAAAATCTGGAAACCCCCCACATCATTACCTTTAGCATATCAGCTGCTTCTTTTCTGCGTTGGGCCATGTCCTCAGATTCAGTCAGAAGGTCTTCCAATAAGGATGATTTGTACAACTGTCCCACTAACTCACTCTGCAGAGTATCTTTCACATGATTAACCAAAAAATGCATTACTGCCTTTGGTACACTGCAAAACAAAATCAAATTATGAAGTTTAAGATTTACTTTCAATGATGTGAATATGTGGGTGTGTGCACATGCCTATGGAGACCAGCAGCATCTGATAACTGAAGAACTAGAGTTACGTATGATTGTGAGCCCTATGTTGCTGGAAATTTAACTTGGGTCCTCCAGAAGAGCAATACATGTTCTAAACCACTGAATTGTATCTCTAGCCTGGGTGACCGTATTCTTAAAAGCCCAAAATGTGAAAGTGCAAGTATTTATAATTTGATGAGTGGTATATCACTTAATCTAATCAAACCAACTATGAAAAACCTTTTCACTTGTCTCATCCATACTACAGTATGAACAAGCCTTAAAAATACTGGCAAATAAAAGGCAGACACAAAAGGCCATATACTATGTTCCTACTTACATGAAATGTCCAAAATAGATGAATTCATAGAGATGGTAAGTTAAGTGTTTCAGGGGTGAGGCATAACAGGAAGTCACTACTGACAGACACATGGGATTTTTGTTAACTTAGGGTAGAAGATGTCACAGAATTAACATTGTAAAACTTGATGAATATATTAAAAACCACAAAGTTTACCTACAATGATGAATTTTAGGGTTTTATGGTACGTGAATTATAGCTTAATATCAACAAACAACAAAAACCTATAAAGAATGGGGGTGATAAAGGAAATAAACTATGGCCTGGAAGATTTTTATAAACTACAATTACTGTTTATTACAAGCTATAAGTTAAAAGGTCATGGAGGCAAAATAATAAATGATTCTACAAACAAAAACCATTATTATCAACATGAAGTATCAGACTATCTTGCTTCTTTCTTCTCTGTGCAATAAAATATCTAACAGTTTACCATAAATTAGACACAGAATATTTTCTAATAGATTAGGCAGCTAAGTTTTTCTTCTCCCTATTACTACATGAAACAGTCCACAGGAAGAAGAAACATTTAGGCAGTGTTAACAAAAGAATTTATTTTGGGGCTGGAGAGATGGCTTGGTGGTTAAGAACACTGACTGCAGGGGACGCACATTCAATTCCCAGCACCCACATGATGGCTAGCAACCATCCATAACTTCCCGTAATTCCAGTTCCAGGGGATATGACACCTTCTGACTTCCATGGGCATCGCACAAAATGGGTGCACTTACATACATGCAGGCATAACATACACATAAAATAAAAAATTAAAGAATTTATATTTTGATATTTCAGAAAACCAAACCAACTAATTAAAATGACAAGTCAATGGTAACTAGCTAAAGTAACTAATTAAATTACTCAAAACTTATGAAAAACCCATCAGGGCGATGGTACATGACTAATCTCAGCCTTTAATCAGTGAAGCAGAAAAATTTTGAGTTCTCCACCAACCTGGGTCACATAGTGAGTTAACTACATAGCCAAGACTGTTATGTAGTTCAGCCTGGCCTTCAATTCTTATACCTTCCTAGTGCTTGGATTCTCATCATACGCCACACGGAAGCTAGGCAAACTACCGAGCTACGTCCTCAGCCCTATTTTTTTAGGGAAAAAGGTGGTAATCAGACAGACTGATAGAATACAAGAATATTCCCCTATTCATTACAGTATGGGAAACTGAATCCAGGATATCATGAATACTTAGACAAGTACTCTATACCACTGAGCCACACCCCTAGCCCTCTCTATTGTCTTGTTTTGATACAGGGTCTCACTAAATAGCCCAAGATAGCCTTAAATTTGTGCTCATCCTGGCTGAGCCTGAGCCTACCTACACAGCTAGAATTTCAGGCATCATCCCCATTCCGGCTCCGCTGATAAACATGGTCCTAATCACTCCATACTACACTGAATGTTGCTTTCACAGTTAACATTAGATTTAGAATCTAATCTAAAAAAGTTTAATGTATGATTTTTTTTCAAAACCGAACTATTCCAGCAGTATTAAGCAGTACTAACCTGTCTTGAATATTCTTTCTGACAATTAGAAAATATGATTTGATGAGTCTTTCAATAACCTCACAATCTCGCTGCTCACGGGCAGACAGTTTTCGTGCAACTGGAACTGGCTAAATGGGATAAGGGGGAAAATATTACTTTTGTATCATTTTGAAATGGCAACATAATATAACTTCTTGAGATTTAGTTCCTTTTGTCTTTGAGGGTGTTTACCTACTAATTTGATCATCTTACAGATTTAAACCACATTTTCCTGGCTTACCACATCCAGCAAGTTGACAGCATGGCCTTTCTGTGGACTGGCTGGCATAATTGGAATTGGTTTTGATTTTTCTTCAGCTAGCAACTCTTCAGCTTTTGAGGTTTTCAGCATTCCTCTCCAGTTGCCTGTTGCTGGTTCTTGACCACCATCTCCAACTCCACCACCTGCAGATGCAACCTGAAAACACATGTTCCAAAACCTGTACCAGCGACATTTGACATTAATGAAGTTCACTTTCTTTGGTGTTAATCAAACACAGATGTAGTACCTATCTGGAACTTATTCAGAGAGATGGTAGTGGCATGTGTACCTGGAAACCTGAGAGGTTCTGGTAGAAGCTGTCTGCAAGCCCAGTCAATTCAAGTTCTATTTAATTCCTCTTATTTACCATTTGCTGACTTTTCAGAATGTTGCTTCTTTCCCCACTCCTCAAATACCAGACTGTGGATGAGGTTATAAGCTATTAAAACTACTCATTAAAAGCATGCACACGGAAACACAACTGCAACTCAGTTTAATCTCAAAGTAGTCTTAAACACTACTGAACTATTAACCCTTGAAGTGTTATGAACTTATCTCTCTACAGTTTTATATTTCTAAAATTAGCTTACGTTTCTAATAAAAAGTAACAAAAGTAAAAATTTCAGAACCCTTTAAGAATAAAAAAAGACTAGGAGCCAGGTGTGGTACATGCCTTTAATCCCAGCACCCAGGAGGCAGAGATCAAGGCCGGCTGGGGCTACAGGGAGACCCTGTCTGAAAAAAAAAAAGGTTCAAGACTACATTGTTTGGCCTGAAAGTCACTTTAATGAGCTGCCAAAAATGGATATATAGCATAAGCACAATTTAAGTTCCTTGAAAATCTACTGTCCTAAAGAAAGGACCCCTGGCCGCTACCATTCAGCACAGCTGCTTTGGCAACCCAATTTTTGGGGGTTCTGAGTCTTCTAAAAGAAAAAAACCCAGCTATTTATAATATTGTGAAAAACAAAATACATCAGCATTTAAAGTATTTTATCCTTTTTAACAGAAGAGTGTTATAGTAGTTCCAAGGAAAAGTTTTAAGTATCATTCCAAATTGAAACACTGGCCAAAAGTCTGTGGAGAGTATAGGTATTACTAATTATATTTTTAGTGCTTTTCAAGTATTCAGGAATTACAGACCAAATGAAATAATAAAGTGAGACCATTCCATAGTCTTAATGTCTGAGTGCTGCAGCTGGAGGTGCGATGTCTCTGAGACTTTGAAGGTGAGAACCTTCAACCTAGAAAATAAGTAGCGGCAGAAAAACAGCAAGAACACGTTTCGTTTCACATGATTTTCAACAACTGACATGTTTTAAAACTCTTACAGTTCCTATCTTTTTTAATTTGAATTTGCTTAAGCTTTTGAGGCACACATGAAACTATACATTTAGAGTTACATATACAGATTAATGGGAAGAAATAGGCATTGGAGAATTATCCGTTAGTCTGAACAGATCTCAGAACTTTAATCGAGGAAATGTCCAAAAGTATATTTCTCAGCTCTAAAATCTCGTCTACTAAAAGAGAAAACTGAAATATAGGCATAGTAGAAAGCCTATTATTAGTTATAATTATAGTTAATACCATCCTACAAGGGTTAGATAAAAGGAACATTAAGAATGTAACACAGACAACAAGAAATAGAGGCCACTGTACAAACAGGTTCTTGGATGGATTTGAAGACAGTGTTTAGTGAGAACCAAAGGTGCCAACATTCCCAGACTCACATTTTTAGTTTCTCTTCTGCTGTCCTGAATTAACTGTTAAAAGATATTTTAAAACATGCAATTTAACGAGCAAGATTTAAATAGCAATGGTTTGAAATTCAAAAACATAGAAGATAATTTTATTCTTAAAATAACTTTCTGTGTGTATCTTCTACATGGCAAGCAAGAGAAAGCATGAGGACAATACTGTTACATAATTTAAGAATACGATCATAACACAGTATCCCAAATTAATACTCTTTTCAGTGCACTGTACCCAAACCAGGCATGCAGGTTCAGAGAAGGAGTCAGAACAGACCTTGCCATCAGCCTCAGCAGAAGCAGCAGGGGAGGGCTCCTGGGAGGCAGGTGCCAAAGCACTTGGAACTTTACAAGACTAAAGGCAAAAATGCAGGGGGGGGGGAAAAAAAATCAAGGATGCCAAAAATGCATTTGGAAACATTTTATAAACAAAATTTTCCCCTCTGTAACAAAGTAGTAAAATAACATGAACAAAATCATCATGGGAGATGGTAAATGCTTATTTTGCCTCATTCCCTGCAACTGTCACTTTGTTTTCTTCAGAACAAGTAAGAAAAATCAAATACAAAAGCTTCATGTTGATTTCTGGCATTTAATAAGATCTTTTCTAACAAGGAAATCAAGGTAACAGATTTTAATATATCAACTGTTGAAGTTACTACTGGTAATTAAAACCTGTTGCGTGCATACTGCTATCTTCCCTCTCTCCAAAACACCCTTATAAAAATCAGTGCTAAACAAACCTCACAAAGTTATCAGCTGAACCTGCAGAAGAAAACTGAGGCTTAAAAGCCCCCTTCACTTTTTATCTCTGTCTTTTTTGAGACAGGGTCTCCCTGTAACCCAGCTGGCCTGGAACTCACTATGTAAATCACACTGGCCTCCATCTCACAGAAATTTGCCTGCCTCTGCCTCCCAAGTGCTGGGATTAAAGGTGTGTGCTACTGAGCCCAGCTCCACCTTTAATTTTAAATTATTCATAGCTTATTGTGAACTTGAACACTTACTCAAGACTGTCCTAATGAACTATTAAAGACAGAAGAAAGCCAGGTCTACAACTGAGTGATATTCTGAGTCTTACCAGTTCAGTTTTGGGTTTGAGGGAGTATTCTTTCAAAGCAGTTTTGTTTTTTACCTTGTCTCTTGATACAGCTGGCGGTAGTTCTCTTGCTAGCCTGTTTCTTCTTTGTTCCTATAAAATATAACAAAACAAAATAAGTGATCATCAAAATAATGATACATGCCTACTACAAAATGCTCATCTTTATTGAAAAGTGTGGAGAGAGTATGTGTGTGTATGTATGTGTGTGTGTATATATATAAATAAAATATAGGATATATATATATATATATAAAATATAGGATATATAGCCTATCATTGGGGACTCATG